TCACGAATGTTCTGTAATGGCTTGATAATGACTTTATAGGCTGTTGTTATTACTGTAATATGGGGACTAATTGTAGTTAGTAATGGGTGCCTGTAGTCAGTAACGGGTGCCTGTAGTTAGTAACGGGGGCCTGTAGTTAGTAACGGGGGCCTGTAGTTAGTAACGGGGGCCTGTAGTTAGTAACGGGGGCCTGTAGTTAGTAAGCTCTCCTCTTGCCAGTAGGTCAGCCACAGAGCCACAGAGCCTTTGACTAAACATTCACCTTGACGTCTCTCAGCAGCAGTCTTGGCCACTAATCCTCTGTTTCCCCGACCAGATGGAATGTGTCCCATTGAGGACTCTTGTCTGTCGGTCCGGCCCTGCCTGGCCCAGTCTGCTGTGTTTGATGTGTAGGCTGGGCCATGCTAATAGGAGCAGTGTTAAACTGAAGCCATCAGCTGCTCTACTCGTTCATGTACTGCTCAAACAGGGTCCAAACACACTGAGGCTTTCAATTGAGAGCCGGCCAGCCATCCGGGGCAGAAAACCAAGGGTAAACTTCTGACTAAACTTAAGTGGCTTTTATCCAGGATCCCTGAAATTAGGACATTTAGGAGTCTCCCATCCCTCAGCTTTGAAATTGGGATTCTGCTGTGTCATGGAGAACGTGACCTGTGACTCGTGACTCGTGACTCGTGACAACCACGTGTTTAGTTTAGTTTGTCCCCTACAGGTCTTTACTCACTACTCAATGTCCTCTAGAGGGTTTTACTTAACCTGGGGGGTTCCTTTGTTGTGGTGACTGTAGGAAGAGGTGGAGGGAGGGAGGGAGGGAGGGAGGGATAGATGAATGGAGGGAGGGAGGCAGGCAGAGACGACAGACAACTCTCAACACAGTGGGTGGGAGGAAGAGAAGAGAAGGAAGAAAAGATAAGAAAAAGAAAGATCCTCTCCCCCCTCCTCCTCCTCTCCCTCCTCCTCCCTCTCCCTCCTCTCCTTCCCCTCTCTCCTCTCCTCTCCTCGTCCTCCTCCTCTCTCTCCTCGCCTCTCCTCGCCTCTCCTCTAAATTGATTGTTCAGAGAATCAAAGGCAAATTGAAACAAACCCGAGCCAGCAAGGTAATCCTCAAAGGATGAACATCAAGATATTCATCTTTAGATAATTAATTCCTCTTACAAATGACAAAACTCCATTATTTTAATGTACTTATTTTACAATTCCTCCAGTGTTGATTGTTTGATGTCTGGAAGGTGTTTGAACTTCACAGAACATCTATCACTTCTATCACTTCACTGCTGGGAGGTAATACAGCACCACTACCACTGTCTGCACTTAACCAATACAATACATTACAATACATTACATTACATTACATTACATTACAATACATTACATTACATTACATTACATTACAATACATTACATAACATTACTATACAATACATTACAATACATTTCAATACATTACATTATATTAGAATACATTACATTACATTACAATACAATACATTACAATACAATTGAATACATTACAATACATTACGCTACATTACAATTCATTACAATACATTACAATACAATACATTACAATACAATACATTACAATACAATACATTACAATTGAATACATTACAATACAATACATGACAATACATTACATTACAATACAATACATAACAATACATTGCAATACATTGCAATACATTACAACAATACATTACAATACATTACATTACATTACATTACAATACAATACATAACAATACATTGCAATACATTGCAATACATTACAATACAATAAAATACAATACACTACATTAGAATACAATACATTACAATACATTTAGCAGACGCTCTTATCCAGAGTGCATACATTATTTAATTTTTTCATACTGGCCCCCCGTGGGAATCAAACCCACAACCCTGCCGTTGCAAGCGCCATGCTCTACCAACTGAGCTACGTGGGGCCCAGTATGATTACATTACAATACAATACATTGCAATACATTGCAATACATTACAATACAATACAATACAATACACTACATTGCACTACATTACACTACATTACTATACATTACAATACATTACAATACAATACAATACATTACAATACATTACAATACATTACAATACAATACATGACAATACATTACAATACAATACATTGCAATACATTGCAATACATTACACTACATTACTATACATTACAATACAACACATTACAATACATTACATCACATTACAATACAATACAATACAATACAATACATACATTATAATACAATACATTACATTACAATACATTACAATACATTACAATACATAACAATACATTACAGTACATTTGTCACACCCTGGTTCTGGGGACTCTATATGTTGAGCCAGGGTGTGTAGATTCTATGTGTTTTGTGTTCTATGTTAATTATCTAGTTGTTCTATTTCTATGTTGGCCAGAGTGGTTCTCAATCAGAGGCAACGAGTGTCAGCTGTTGCTGGTTGTCTCTGATTGGGAACCACATTTAGACAGGCTGTTTTCCCACAGTAGTTGTGGGATCTTGTTCCGTGTTGGTTGTGTTATACCTAGGACGTCACGTTATCGTTTGTTGTTTTGTTTATCGTGTTATCACTATTGATAATAAAGTATGTTTGCATTTCACGCTGCACCTTGGTCCTCCTCCTTCGACGATCGTGACAACATTACATTACAATACATGACAATACATGACAATACAATACATTACAATACAATACATTACAATACAATACAATACATTACAATACATTTCAGTACAATATAATACATTACAATACATACAATACAATACATAATACATTACAATACATTACAAGACAATACATTACAATACAATACATTACATTACATTACAATACATTACAAGACAATACATTACAATACAATACAATACAATACAATACATTACAATACATTTCAATACAATACATTACAATACAATGCAATACATTGCAATGCAATACATTGCAATACAATACATTACAATACATTACAAGACATTACAATACATTACATTACAATACAATACAATACAATACAATACAATACATTACAATACAATACATTACAATACATTACAATACAATACAATACATTACAGTACATTACATTACAATACAATACATTACAATACGATACAATACATTACACTACATTAAAATACAATACATCAACATTTCTGGAGAGTTTCTGCTTCATTCCCAGTGTCAGAGAGGGCTGTGGAGGGGAGGAACATAGAGAGGACTGTGGGGAGGAACATAGAGAGGACTGTGGGGAGGAACATAGATAGGACTATGGGGAGGAGGAACATAAAGAGGACTGTGGGGAGGAGAAACATAGAGAGGGCTTTGGAGGGGAGGACATAGAGAGGACTGTGGGGAGGAACATAGAGAGGACTGTGGGGAGGAACATAGAGAGGACTGTGGGGAGGAACATAGATAGAACTATGGGGAGGAGGAACATAAAGAGGACTGTGGGGAGGAGAAACATAGAGAGGGCTTTGGAGGGGAGGAACATAGAGAGAACTGTGGGGAGGAACATAGAGAGGACTGTGGGGAGGAACATAGAGAGGACTGTGGAGGGGAGGAACATAGAGAGGACTGTGGGGAGGAGGAACATAGAGAGGACTGTGGGGAGGAGGAACATAGAGAGGACTGTGGGGAGGAACATAGAGAGGTCTTGACTCCTCTGACTGTCTCTGACTCCCCCTGTAATAACATTGTGATGGGTCTGTCTAATAGAGGTCTTGACTCCCTCTGACTCCCCCTGTAATAACATTACATCTGCCTGCCATTCCTCCCCAGCCTAATGCATAACATCTGCCTGCCATTCCTCCCCAGCCCAATGCATTACATCTGCCTGCCATTCCTCCCCAGCCCAATGCATTACATCTGCCTGCCATTCCTCCCCAGCCCAATGCATAACATCTGCCTGCCATTCCTCCCCTGCCCAATACATAACTCACAAGGTTGTCTGGCAGTATCTAGAGGAAGGTTGTTCCACAGCTACTTGAAGAAGCAGTATCTAGAGGAAGGTTGTTCCTCAGCCATTTGAAGAAGCAGTATCTAGAGGAAGGTTGTTCCACAGCTACTTGAAGAAGCAATATCTAGTGGAAGTACAAATGCCTTCCATGACAAAAGACAGCAGATCTTAAATTATGTCAAATAAAGGAATGACTTGAGAGAGGCGATGGAGTAGTCCTCTAGACTGCAGTTGTAGTCCTCCCTAAACCTGATTTACTGACTGCTGTGGAATCCTTCCATTAACCCAGTGTGTTGGAGTGTGTGTGTGTGTGTGTTTGATAGTTTGTGGATGTGTGTGTGTGTGTGTTGGAGTGTGTGTGTGTGTTTGGAGTGTGTGTTGGATTGTGTGTGTGTTGGAGTGTGTGTTGGAGTGTTTGTGTGTGTGCTTTGTGCGTGCCTGCATGCATGTGTGTGTATGTTTGTGTTTAACAACTAAAGCTCTTATCTCTCCCAGAGCTGGCTTCTAGAGAAGTCATTTTCCCACATACTCTAAGCTGAGATATGTCTGGTCTGGACAGCATCCCACCGTGGTAGAGGCTCTTCTACAAAGTTTTCTGGTTCTTGGTTCTCAAAGAGAAGTGATGTCCCACTTATCTGGGATGATACAGCAACAGCATTAGTGTTACAAACAGACTGGTTAATGTCTCTGTCTTTTACATTATGCATCTGCTGTGTGATGTGATTTCTGTCTCACTGTTCTGTAGTGTGCTTGTTCAATAAAGGCTTACCTTGAAAAATATCATCTGGAAATGGTTGTTTCTTTCCCATATTTTGAAGTACATTTTGCATTTATTTTGTCATGATATTCACGTTGTCATTCATGATATTCACGTTGACTGTTTCCTGTACTTATCTACATTGTTGACATACTGTATTCTGATGTAATGTTCTCCTGCTGTCTGGTTGTCCTGCAGTGGATCCGTTTGTCTGTACGACTCAGGCCATAGCTGACATAGTGATCCATGTTCTCCTGTCTTACCCTCTTTCCAGTGGATCCGTTTGTCTGTACAACTCAGGCCATAGCTGACATAGTGATCCTGGTAGATGGATCCTGGAGCATCGGCAGGATCAACTTCCGCTTGGTCCGCATGTTCCTGGAGAACCTGGTCAACGCTTTCAGCGTCGGGATCGACGAGACCAGGATAGGTAAGCAGTAGCATCACTGTCTATTATTAACCAGGATAGGTAAACAGTAGCATCACTGTCTGTTATTGACCAGGATAGGTAAGCAGTAGCATCACTGTCTGTTATTGACCAGGATAGGTAAGCAGTAGCAACACTGTCTGTTATTAACCAGGGTAGGTAAGCAGTAGCATCACTGTCTATTATTAACCAGGATAGGTAAGCAGTAGCATCACTGTCTATTATTAACCAGGATAGGTAAGCAGTAGCAACACTGTCTATTATTAACCAGGATAGGTAAGCAGTAGCATCACTGTCTGATATTAGCCTTACTGTACTGTACTGTCACAGGGTTCAATAGCTTTACTGTACTGTATTGTCACAGGGTTCAATAGCTTTACTGTACTGTACTATCACAGGGTTCAATAGCTTTACTGTACTGTACTGTCACAGGGTTCAATAGCTTTACTGTACTGTACTGCCACAGGGTTCAATAGCTTTACTGTACTGTACTGTCACATGGTTCAATAGCTTTACTGTACTGTACTGTCACAGGGTTCAATAGCTTTACTGTACTGTATTGTCACAGGGTTCAATAGATTTACTGTACTGTACTGTCACAGGGTTCAATAGCTTTACTGTACTGTACTGTCACAGGGTTCAATAGCTTTACTGTACTGTACTGTCACAGGGTTCAATAGCTTTTCTGTACTGTACTGTCACAGGGTTCAATAGCTTTACTGTACTGTACTGTCACAGGGTTCAATAGCTTTACTGTACTGTACTGTCACAGAGTTCAATAGCCTTACTGTACTGTACTGTCACAGGGTTCAATAGCTTTACTGTACTGTACTGTCACAGGGTTCAATAGCTTTACTGTACTGTACTGTCACAGGGTTCAATAGCTTTACTGTACTGTACTGTCACAGGGTTCAATAGCTTTACTGTACTGTACTGTCACAGGGTTCAATAGCTTTACTGTACTGTACTGTCACAGGGTTCAATAGCTTTACTGTACTGTACTGTCACAGGGTTCAATAGCTTTACTGTACTGTACTGTCACAGGGTTCAATAGCTTTACTGTACTGTACTGTCACAGAGTTCAATAGCCTTACTGTACTGTACTGTCACAGCCTTATCCTAAAATGAAATATATGTTATTCTATTCTATTCTACTGTGTTCCCTCCCAGGTCTGGCCCAGTACAGTGGGGACCCCAGGATAGAGTGGCATCTGAATGCCTTCAGCACTAAAGATGCAGTACTGGATGCTGTGAAGAACCTGCCCTACAAGGGAGGCAACACACTGACAGGTACGCTACACCAGCAGCTCCCTCTGACTTCATCCCTAATGACAGCTATGGAAAGGTCAAAATACATTTAGCCCAGAGGGGGATGTTAAGCAATGCTTAATACAAAATCTACACAGATGTACTGAAATCTGTTTATAGGGGGATGTTAAGCAATGCTTAATACAAAATCTACACAGATGTACTGAAATCTGTTTATAGGGGGATGTTAAGCAATGCTTAATACAAAATCTACACAGATGTACTGAAATCTGTTTATAGATTTTTGCGTGAATGTAAAGTGGTTAATTAAGGGTAACAAGAGTCAATGAGGAGGCTATGTGACTTTTCGAGGTATCAACCAGTGGAGCCATCATCAGTGAACTGTGTGTATCTGTGTAGCTGTGTATCTGTGTATCTGTGTATCTGTGTAACTGTGTATCTGTGTATCTGTCAATCTGTGTAGCTGTGTATCTGTGTATCTGTGTAACTGTGTATCTGTGTAACTGTGTATCTGTGTATCTGTCTATCTGTGTATCTGTGTAACTGTGTATCTGTGTATCTGTGTATCTGTCTATATGTGTATCTGTGTATTTGTGTATCTGTGTAACTGTGTATCTGTAAATCTGTGAATCTGTGTATCTGTGTAGCTGTGAATATGTGTAGCTGTGTAATTAACTGTTTAACTCTGTATATCTTTGTGTATCTGGGTACACTAAGTGTACAAAACATTAGGAACACCTTCCTAATATTGAGTTGCATCCCCTTTTTGCCCTCAGAACAGCCTCAATTCGTTGGGGCATGGACTCTACAAAGTGTCGAAGCGTTCCACAGTGATGCTGGCCCATGTTGACTCCAATGCTTCCCACAGTTGTGTTCAAGTTGGCTGGATTTCCTTTGGGTGGTGGACCATTCTTGATACACACAGGAAACTGTTGCGTGTGAAAAACCCAGCAGCGTTGCAGTTCTTGACACACTCAAACCGGTGTGCCTGGAACCTACTACCATACCCCATTCAAAGGCACTTTAATAGTTTGTCTTGCCCATTCACCCTCTGAATGGCACACACACAATCCATGTCTCAATTGTCTCAAAGCTTTAAAATAATTGGAAATCCTTCTTTAACCTGTCGCCTCCCCTTCATCTACACTGATTTAAGTGGATTTAACAAGTGACATCAATAAGGGATCGTAGCGTTCACCTAGATTCACCTGGTCAGTCTATGTCATGGAAATAGCATGTTTTGTCCACTCAGTGTATCTGTGTATATCTGTGTATCTCTGTAGGCCTGGCCCTGACCTATATCCTGGAGAACAGCTTCAAGCCCGAGTCGGGCTCCAGGAGTGGCGTACCCAAAGTTGGTATCCTGATCACAGATGGGAAGTCCCAGGATGATGTGATCCCCCCCGCCCAGAGCCTGAGGGACGCTGGCGTCGAACTCTTCGCCGTCGGTAGGACGCAGGGCCTTGTTGTCCTTACTGTAGTATGAACACATGATGGTGTCTTTAGGTGAACCACAGTGCATTCGGAAAGTATTTAGACCCCTTGACTTTTTCCACATTTTGTTACGTTACAGCCTTATACTAAAATTGATTAATTTGTTTTTTTCCCCCTCAACAATCTACACACAATACCGCATAATGACAAAGCAAAAACACGTTTTTAGACATTTTTGAACATTTATTAAAAACTGAAATATGACATTTACATAAGTATTCAGACCCTTTACTCAGTCTTTGTTAAAGCACTTTTGGCAGCGATTACAGCCCCAAGTCTTCTTGGGTATGACGCTACAATCTTGGCACACCTGTATTTGGGGAGTTTCTCCCATTCTTCTCTGCAGATCCTCTCAAGCTCTGTCAGGTTGGATGGGGAGCGTTACTGCACAGCTATTTTCAGGGCTCTCCAGAGATGTTCGATTGGGTTCAAGTCTGGGCTCTGGCTGGGCCACTCAAGGACATTCAGAGACTTGTCCTGAAGCCACTCCTGTGTTGTCTTGGCTGTGTGCTTAGGGTCGTTGTCCTGTTGGAAGGTGAACCTTCTCCCCAGTCTGAGGTCCTGAGCGCTGTGGAGCAGGTTTTCATCAAGGATCTCTCTGTACTTTGCTCCGTTCATCTTTGCCTCGATGCTGACTTGTCCCTGCCGCTGGAAAACATCCCACAGCATGATGCTGCCACCACCATGCTTCACCGTAGGGATGGTGCCAGGTTTCCTCCAGACGTGACGCTTGGCATTCAGGCCAAAGAGTTCAATCTTGGTTTCATCAGACCAAATAATCTTGTTTCTCATGGTCTGAGAATCTTAAGGTGCCTTTTGGCAAACTCCAAGCAGGCTGTCATGTGCCTTTTACTGAGGAGTGGCTTCCGTCTGATTGGTGGAGCGCTGCAGAGATCGTTGTCCTTCTGGAAGGTTCTCCCATCTTCACAGAGGAACTCTAGAGCTCTGTCAGAGTGACCATCAGGTTCTTGGTCACCTCCCTGACCAAGGCCCTTCTCCACTGATTGCTCAGTTTGGCCGGGCGGCCAGCTCTAGGAAGAGTCTTGATGGTTCCAAACTTCTTCCATTTAAGAATGATGGAGGCCACTGTGTTCTTGGGGACCTTCAATGCTGCAGAAATGTTTTGGTACCCTTCCCCAGATCTGTGCCTCGACACAATCTTGTCTCGGAGCTCTACGGACAATTCCTTCGACCTCATGGCTTGGGTTTTTGCTCTGACATGCACTGTCAACTGTGGGACCTTTATATATAGACAGGTGTGTGCCTTTCCAAATCATGTCCAATCAATTGAATTTACCACAGGTGGACTCCAATCAAGTTGTAGAAACATCTCAAGGATGATCAATGGAAACAGGATGCACCTGAGCTCAATTTCTAGTCTCATAGCAAAGGGTCTGAATACTTATGTAAATATGTTTAAAAAAAAAAATATATATATATATATATATATATATATATTTTTTTTTTTATATACATTTGCAAAAAATTATAAAAACCTGTTTTCGCTTTGTCATTATGGGGTATTGTGTATAGATTGCTGAGATTTTTTTATTTATTTAATCCATTTTAGAATAAGGCTGTAACGTAACAAAATGTGGAAAGAGTCAAGGGGTCTGAATACTGTGAGACTTGATGCTGTCGGTAGGACACAGTTAGTGTGCCATGTATGTTGTTTTAGAGGCAAAGGCTGACATGGGCTGACAATGTGACACATTTGGATATACTTCTGCCCTTGATCTTAATCCTAATCTTGATCTTAATCTTAATTTAAATCTTAATCCTGATCTTAATCTTAATCTTGATTTTAGTGCTCTCTCTCCCTGTGTGCAGGTGTGAAGAATGCTGATGAGAATGAGCTGAGGGCCATAGCTTCTGAGCCTGACAACACTCATGTGTACAACGTGGCAGACTTCAGCATCATGAGCTCTATAATAGAGGGACTTACCAAGATAGTCTGTGAACGGGTAGAGGAGCAGGACAAGGAGATCAAAGGTGAACAAATCAAATCAGAGAGCAAAGCTGTTGACACGTCAGTCATCATACTACTGTCTACCTTTACAGTACTGTCTCATGCACTTAGACATAGTGCACAGTCTTTAATATTGAGCAGGCCTCAGGTAGTCACTAGAAATCTGAGCTGAAATAACTCCTGTCTGTTTAATACACTTCATACTTAATCAGCATGCATTTGAATCATCATAATGCTGTCCATATGTAGTGCATACTGAATAAACAGGTTCCAAAAGGGATCTTCGGCTGTCCCCATAGGAATACCCTTTTGGGTTCCATGTATAACCCTCTATGGAATGAGTTCTACATGGAACCCAAAAGGGTTCTACCTGGAGCCAAAAGGGTTCTAGCTGGAACCAAAAAGAGTTATTCACAGGGTTATCCTATGGGGACAGCTGAAGAACCCTAGATAGCACCAGAGTGTACTGTACAAACCTTCCAGACCATACATTCTCTAACCGTCCGTTATAATGTATCTCCAGGAGAGACGGCAGGTAAGGAGACACAGGTAGCTCCTCGGGACCGAGTGACATCAACATGTCCTTACAGTACAGTATACTGAACAGTCTTTCACCTTATATGATGCTATCCTGGACTATCTGAATGTATGTTTCTCCAGGAGAGTCTGCAGAACAGGAGACACAGGGAGCTCCTCAGGACCTAGTGATATCAGAGGTGACAGCCAGGAGTTTCAGGGTGTCCTGGAGTCACGCCCCCGGCAGTGTAGAGAAGTACCGTGTGGTGTACTACCCTGCTACCCAGGGAGGACGGCCTGAAGAGGTATACACTCACACACCATCTTGCTCTCCCACCCAATAGTTGTGTATCCGTTTTTTTTATGTCCATCTGCTGCAGTTGAAACCAGGGGTCGTAACCTAAATCATTTTTCCAATCGTTTTTTTCCGACTAGCAAAATAAAGTTCTGAACCGGTTCGAACCAAAAAAAATTACCAGTTTATATCATTCCTTTCGGTTCCTTTTTTAACCTGTGAAATCAACAGCTTTTTACATTTAGCTCATTAAATATCTTCACCAATCATTGCGGATAGAGCAGGCAAGCTAGTTGCGCAAGATGCAACGGAAATTTTGCGGGTGGGGAGAGATAAAGAGAGGGTTGAGGAGGAGGCTTGAAGCGCTCGGCATCTTGTTATGACATGCATTATCTGAATTAGGTCCACATAATTATACCTAGGAGGAGCGGCTTCTATGGAGGAACTTTGAATGTCCTTTGAGCTAGCTAGCTAACAAGCTTGAGCTAGCTAGCTAGCTAACAAGCTTGTGTGTGCAGAGTGGCACCAGAATTAAAAACACGTCTTGTCGTTTTGTAGTTAATAAATCCAACGTGAAACGTGATAACTAGGCCTATAGTATCCTTAACTAGCATTGACAGAGTGAGGGCTTTGCATAGGCGCTTTGTTGCATCCTTTTGTGGGACTAGAAAAAAATGCCTGGAACGTTAAATAACGTTATTAACCGGTTCCCATGCTTTTAAAATAACGGTTCTGTTCTGGAACAGTATGGATCACTTTCGTTCCTGGTTCCGTTTCTGTTCCTTGAAAAATGTCGTTATTTTCCAGTTTTTCAGTTCTGTTCCCTGAACCGTTTCCAACCCTGGTTAAAACACACCCACTGTAAATTCAGTGAGACACAAGACAATAAATGACTGAATGCACACCTGATACTGCAGTGAAATGTCAGTCATTCCCCTTGCCCTGTCTTCTGTCCTCCTCCATCCCTCGCCTGAATCCATCCAGTACTCCAGTCATAGTTGAAACACTCACTGGGAAAGACAACGGAGTGCACACGCGACACTTGCACTGTAATTTCGGGGTCACACCCCTGGCCTCTATCTGCGTTCCTGTGTCCCTCATCCCCTGTATCCATCCAGTACTCCAGCTGTTTAGGGCGGTGTCCCAAATGGTGCCCTGTGGGCCCTGTCAAAAGTAGTGCACTACATAGGGAATAGGGTGCCATTTAGGACACAGCCTAGATGTGTGCTGATCAGAGAGGCTGGACTATAGAGACGTATGGCAGTATTGCCAGGGGAGTTAGATGTAGTTTCCTGAACACATACAGGACTACTTTACTGGATGTATTGACTCCAGATGTACAGGACTACATTACTGAATGTATTGACTCCAGATGTACAGGACTACTTTACTGGATATATTGACTCCAGATGTTCAGGACTACTTTACTGGATGTATTGACACCAGATGTTCAGGACTACATTACTGAATGTATTGACTCCAGATGTACAGGACTACTTTACTGGATGTATTGACTCCAGATGTACAGGACTACTTTACTGGATGTATTGACTCCAGATGTTCAGGACTACATTACTGAATGTATTGACTCCAGATGTACAGGACTACTTTACTGGATTACTGGATGTATGACTCCAGATGTTCAGGACTACATTACTGAATGTATTGACCTCCGATGTACAGGATACTTTACTGGATATATGACTCCAGATGTTCATGACTACATTACCAATGTATTGACTACAAATGTAAGGACCTACTTACTGGATTGATTGCCTCCAGATGTACAGGACTACTTTACTGGATGTATTGACTCCAGATGTTCAGGACTACATTACTGAATGTATTGATCCAGATGTACAGGACTATTTACTGGCGATATTGACTCCAGCTGTTCAGACTACATTACTGGAATGTATTGATCCCGATGTACAGGACTACTTTACTGGAGTATTTGACTCAGATGTTCAGGAATACTTTACTGGATGGATTGACGCCAGCTGTTAGGACTACTTTTACTGGATGTATGATCCAGATGACAGGAACTACTTTACTAGATGTATTAAACCCAGATGGTCAGGAACTACTTTACGGGATGTATTGATCCAGATGTACAGGGCTACTTTACTGGATGTATTGACTCCAGATGTTCAGTCTCTGTGTATCTCTCAGACCCAGTCTCTGTGTATCTCTCTGACCCAGTCTCTGTGTATCTCCCTGACCCAGTCTCTGTGTATCTCTCTGACCCAGTCTCTGTGTATCTCTGTGTATCTCTGTGACCCAGTATCTGTGTATCTCTAAGACCAAGTCTCTGTGTATTTCTGTGTATCTCTCTGGCCCAGTCTCTGTGTATCTCTCTGACCCAGTCTCTGTGTATCTCTCTGGCCCAGTCTAGCTGTATCCTTCTCTCCCAGTCTCTGTGTATCTCTCTGGCCCAGTCTCTGTGTATCCCTCTGACCCAGTCTGTGTGAATATCTCTGTATCTCTCTGACCCATTCTCTGTGTATCTCTCTGACCCCAGTCTCTGTGTATCTCTGTGTATCTCTCTGACCCAGTCTCTGTGTATCTCTCTGACCCAGTCTCTGTGTATCTCTTTGACCCAGTCTCTCTGTATCTCTCTGACCCAGTCTCTGTGTATCTCTGTGTATCTCTTTGACCCAGTCTCTCTGTATCTCTCCCAGTCTGTGGTGGACGGCACAGTGAACTCTGTGGTTGTGCAGAATCTCAACTCCTTGACAGAGTACCAGTTAGCTGTGTTTGCTGTCTACACCAGCTCAGCTAGCGAGGCACTTCGTGGCAGCGAGACCACATGTGAGTCCACCTCCCTTCTCATTGTCAGCAAGACTATTTTCTACAGTTGTTATTTTTTCCTCAGCTCCTGTGCCAAGTTGGATGTGTGTAAACATACTCTTTCACCTAGGTTTAACCCACATTTATGTGTGTGTGTTTGTGTCTGTATGTCTGTGTGTCTGTGTGTGTTTGTGTGTGTGTCTGTTCGTTCCTGTGTCTGTGTGCGTTCCTGCGTGTCTTCACGTGTGTCTCAGTGGCTCTTCCCATGGTGAACGGCCTGGAGCTGTACGATGTTACCCACAACACTATGCGGGCGCGGTGGAGCGGTGTGCAGGGCGTCTCTGGGGTACACGGTCCTCTACGCCCCCCTTGACCGAGGACGGGACCTCCGACGAGAAAGAGGTACCCCAGCCAGAGGGCTGCGAGCCTGGGTGGGATCGGTCTGGGGGAGGGTTCTTCCTGGAGGGGCTGGTGGTGGTCCGTGTCTCTTTTCTTCTGGTGAAATCTAGCATGAATACTCCCTAGTTACTAAACCACAGGATCACCGGGGTGGTAGGCTTTGTGTCAGTGGATCTGGTGCTAAACTGAAAAGAAACTCCAGCAGCACACTGGTGATCTTGATGCTTCAGAGGTTTATTGGATCTGGTGGTGTCATGGAGGCAGGAGAGGCCTCAATAAGAGGACTTCCTCTGTCCCTGTCTCTGTCCCTATCCCTGTCTCTAGAGAAAATGTTGCAGTTTTAAAGAAAGTTTGCTTCAATTCTACTCATTTTGCCAGGGGGCGGAGAGAAGATTTTGCAGTTTTTTAACTAATTTCATGCAATTCTACTCATTTTGCCATGGGGCAGAGAGAATATTTGTCACGTACGTTAAGAGAGGGGTCGGACCAAGGCGCAGCGTGAAAGGCGTACATGTTTATTGAACTAATAAACACACGACACAGTAACCAAAATAACAAACTTAACCGTGACGGTCCAAAGGGCTAACACACAAGCCTAAACAGGAACACAACAAGATCCCACAACACAGGCAGGAAAACTGGCTGCCTAAGTAGAGACAACGAGCGACAGCTGCCTCTGATTGGGAACCACACCCGGCCAAACATAGAAATACAAACCTAGAATATTCACACCCTGACCAAACTAGCTAGAGTTCTATAGGCCAGGGCGTGACAATATTTAGCAATTTTATAACTAATTTCATACAATTCTACTCATTTTGCCATGGGTCGGAGAGAAGATTTTGCAATTCTATAACTAATTTCATGCAATTCTACTCATTTTGACATGGGGGCGGAGAGAAGATTGAGCAATTTTATAACTAATTTCATACAATTCTACTCATTTTGCCATGGGGCGGAGTGTGATGAGTGTGATAGAAGGAGTCAGGCGCAGGAGGGTATTCACCGAATGCAGAGTTTATTCCGTCGTACACACATAGCGACAAACGAAACAGGCACAGGGGACATATCTACCCTGGCAATACATTTACATTACATTTTAGTCATTTAGCAGACGCTAATTATCCAGAGCAACTTACAGTTAGTGAGTGCATACATTATTTGTTATACCCCCCGTGGGAATCGAACCCACAACCCTGGCGTTGCAAACGCCATGCTCTACCAACTGAGCTACATCCCTGCCGAACATTCCCTCCCCTACCCTGGGCCAATTGTGCGCCGCCCCATGGGTCTCCCGGTCGCGGCCGGCTACGACAGAGCCTGGATTCGAACCAGGATCTCTAGTGGCACAGCTAGCACTGCATCGCAGACCACTGCGCCACTCGGGAGAGTATACAAGCTACAATACAAGGTAACAATAGCTCCAACAATAACAGGCACAGGGGAAATATCTACCCCGGCAATAACAAGGTACGAGTAGCTCCACCGAGCTACACTACTATCACAAAGAAACAATCACCCACAAGGACAAGGGGGGCAGAGGGAACACTTATACACTGACTAATGAGGGTATAAGAACCAGGTGTGTGTGATTGACAAGACAAGACAAATGGAATGATGAATAATGGAGCGGCAGTGGCTAGTAAGCCGGTGACGCCGAACGCCGAAGCCTGCCTGAACAAGGGGGGGAGGCAGCCTCGGCGGAAGTCGTGACAATACCCCCCCCGACCTCGGCGACGGCCAGGAGGACGCGGAGCAGGGCGAGCCGGATGGTGACGGTGGAAATCCCGCAACAGGGAGGGATCGAGGATATCCCTCACCGGGACCCAGCACCATTCCTCCGGACCGTACCCTTCCCACTCCACAAGGTACTGAAGGCCCCCCACCCGACGCCTCGAATCCAGGATGGAACAGACCGAGTACGCCGGGGCCCCCTCGATGTCCAGAGGAGATGGAGGAACCTCCCGCACCTCAGACTCCTGGAGCGGACCAACCACCACCGGCCTGAGGAGAGACACATGAAACGAGGGGTTAATACGGTAATCAGGGGGAAGTAATAACCTATAAGTGACCTTGTTGATTCTCCTCAGGACTTTGAACAGCCCCACAACCGCAGGCTCAGCTTCCGGCAGGGCAGGCGGAGGGGCAGATTCCGGGTCGAGAGCCAGACCCGATTCCCCGGTACGAAGACCGGGGCCTCACTGCGGTGACGGTCAACACCAAGCTACAAAACAGGGTAATCAGCAATAAAGTACGTACACAATACACAGGACACAACAGTATCCACACTCACATAAAGAAATGGATTCTAACAAAGTTACCAATAGGGTAACCAACAACTTAGTGAGTACACAACACACAGGACACCACCGTGTCCATACTCACATATGGCAAAAATCTCTCTCTCTTGCAACACACACAAGTTTGGTTTTTATAAAATGGGATGTGTGATTGAACAAACGAGTAACAGGTGGTGCAATTCACAGGAATGTTCACTGATTGGTCCAATCATCAGACACCCCAACGACCACCAATCAGGAACATACAGGACACCTGTGATTAGGGCAGAAAGAGTAGAAACACACAAAAACACAGGATACCTGTATCCGTAACAGTCAGCGTTGGCCTTCTGACGACGCACAGCGCGCTGTAGGTGAACGTTGGCAGCGTCCCACGTCTCCTCCGCGCGCCAAAACCAGTCATCCACCACAGGAGCCTCGGTCTGGCTCTGGTGCCACGGTGCCAGAACCGGTTGGTAACCTAAAACACATTGGAATGGCGTTAGGTTATTAGAGGAGTGGCGGAGAGAGTTCTGGGCATATTCTGCCCATGGCAAGAACACCGACCACTCCCCCAGCCGGTCCTAGCAGTAGGAACGCAGGAACCTACCCACATCCTGATTTACCCGTCCCACCTGCCCATTTGACTCGGGGTGGAACCCAGAGGTCAGGCTGACCGAGACCCCCAGACGTTCCATGAATGCCTTCCAAACCTTGGACGTGAACTGGGGACTTCGGTCGGACACTATATATCCTCTGGCACCCCGTAGTGCCGGAAGACGTGAGTAAACAGGGCCTCCGCAGTCTGCAGGGCAGTGGGGAGAACGGGCAGAGGAAGGAGGCAGCAGGACTTGGAAAAGCGGTCCACAACGACCAGGATGGTGGTGTTACCTTGGGAGAGGGGAAGATCAGTCAATAAATCAACACTAAGGTGAGACCATGGTCGTTGTGGAACTGGTAAAGGTTGTAACTTACCTGCTGGGAGGTGCCTAGGTGCCTTACTCTGGGCACACACCGAGCAGGAGGAGACGTACACCTTCACGTCCTTAGCCAAGGTAGGCCACCAGTACTTTCCGATCAGGCAGCGCACTGTACGAACGATACCTGGGTGACCAGAGGAGCGTGACGTGTGTGCCTAGTAGATCAGACGATCACGGATAAGAGCAGGCACGTACCGCAGCCCAGCTGGACACTGAGGTGGAGATGGATCTGTGCGTAATGCCTGCTCTATATCCGCATCCATCGCCCATACTACCGGCGCCACAATGCAGGAGTATGGGGGTGTTGTCTCTGGGCCTCTCCTCTGTGTCATACAGCCGGGACAGTGCGTCTGCCTTCACATTCTTCGTACCCGGAATGTATGACAGTGTAAAATCAAACTGGGTGAAGAATAGGGCCCACCTGGCCTGGCGAGGATTCAGCATCCTCGCTGCCCGGGTGTACTCCAGGTTACGGTGGTCTGTCCAGACGAGGAAAGGGTGTTTCGCCCCTTCGAGCCAATGCCTCCACACGGTCAAAGCTCGGACAACAGCCAACAGCTCCTGATCACCAACGTCGTAGCTCTGCTCCGCCGGGCTGAGCTTCTTAGAGAAGAAGGCACAGGGGCGGAGCTTGGGTGGCGTGCCCGAGCGTTGGGATAGGACAGCGCCTATCCCTACCTCGGACACATCCACCTCCACTACGAACGGTAGTGATGGATCGGGGTGGGCCAATACGGGGGCTGAGGTGAACAGACCCCGCAGTCTCCTGAAGGCCAGGTCAGCCTCAGCAGACCAGCGGAGCTGGGTTGGCCCACCCTTCAACAGGAATGTAAAGGGAGCTGCGACCTTGCCAAAGCCCCGGATAAACCTCTGATAGTAGTTGGCAAAGCCAAGAAAGCGCTGCACCTCCTTAACCGTGGTTGGAGTCGGCCAATTACGCACGGCTGAAATGCGATCTCCCTCCATCTCCACAACTGAGGTGGTAATGCGGTATCCGAGGAAGGAGACGGACTGCTGGAAAAACATACACTTCTCTGCCTTGGCATAAAGGTAATTTTCCAACAGTCGGGCCAGCACTTTGCGAACCAGAGACACATGCTCGGCGCGCGTAGCAGAATACACCAGGATGTCATCGATGTAGACCACCACACTGCGACCAAGCATGTCCCGAAACACCTCATTCACAAAGGACTGGAAGACGGATGGAGCATTCATCAAACCATAGGGCATCACCAGGTATTCATAATGCCCCGTGGTTGTGCTGAATGCTGTCTTCCACTCCTGAACACGCACCAGGTTGTATGCACTCCTGAGTTCTAATTTGGTGAAGAAGCGTGCCCCATGCATTGACTCAATCACTGAAGGAATGAGGGAGAGAGGATAACTAAATCTTATAGTCTCCTTGTTCAGTGATCGATAATTAAAGCACGGGTACAGACCGCCGTCTTTCTTCTTCACAAAGAAGAAACTCGAGGAGGTGGGTGAAGTGGAGGGACGTATATACCTCTGGCCCAGGGACTCGGTGACGTATGTTTCCATAGCTTCCGTTTCAGCCTGCGACAGGGGGTACACATGACTCCTGGGAGGTACAGCGTCTACCCGAAGGTTCATCGCGCAATCCCCCGCCCAATGAGGTGGTAATTTTGTCGCCTGTGTCTTAGAAAACACGTGCGCCAGATCATTGATTTCGGGGGGGGGGGGGGGGGGGGGGGGGGGGGGATGCGCATGGTGGAGGTGCCGTCTGGACTTTCCACCGTGGTTGCACCAACGGAAACACCTAGACACCTACCCTGACACTCTCGCGACCACCCCGTGAGAACCCTCTGCGGCCATGAGAAGGTGGGGTTGTGGAGTGCTAGCCAAGGGATACCTAATACCACAGGGAAAGCAGGAGACTCAATAATCGAAAAAGTAACCTGTTGACTACAACGTGTGGTGTACTGTCCCTTCGTGCCACCAGAGTGGCACTGTCGCTGTCGTCCTCCGCTTTCTCGGACGGCGGCTCCACTCAGCTCCATCAGCTCGGGAGTCGTCCGGGGTGGAAACGGGCAGACCCCTATCAGGACGTCCTCTGGCTGCCAGCAGGTTGTCCAAACGGATGGCCATGTCCACCAGTTTTGTAAAAGACAACATGGTGTCCCGGCAGGCTAGCTCCCGTCGGACGTCCTCCCGCAGATGGCACCGGAAATGGTCGATCAGAGCCCGCTCGTTCCACCCAGACCCCGCTGCCAGAGTCCGAAACTCCAACGCGAAGTCCTGCCTCAGGTGGACCAGCCGCTCGCCCGCCTCTCGACCCTCGGGCGGGTGATCGTAGACCGCCCGAAAGAGGCGAGCGAACTCCCCGTAGTCCTCCAATGCGGCTCCTCCTTCGTTCCAAACCGCGTTGGCCCACTCCAGGGCTTTCCCCGAGAGGCAGGAAACGAGGACGGACACCTTCTCCCGCTCCGATGGCGCCGGCCTGATGCTGGAGAAGTAAAGCTCCAGTTGGAGGAGGAATCCTTGGCAGAGCACCGCCGTCCCGTCGAACACCCGTGGTAGGGATATCTGGATCCCTCCGGGTGCTGGGGTGTAGGTTGCTGGATCCGGTTGGCCAGCTGGTCTCGACAGATCGGGTTCTCTCCTCTCCAGGCGTTGGAAGACCTGAAGAACCCGATCCATCACTTCCCCCAACCTGGCCAGCATCGTGGACTGCTCCTGGACCCGTGCCACGACTCCAGGCATGCGCTCTTCTCCCGCTGACACCATAGCGGGTGGGTGATTCTGTGATGAGTGTGATAGAAGGAGTCAGGCGCAGGAGGGTAATCACCGAATGCAGAGTTTATTCCGTCGTACACGCATAGCGCTAGATAGCGAAAAAACGAAACAGGCACAGGGGAAATATCTACCCCGGCAATAGAAGGTACGAGTAGCTCCACCGAGCTACACTACTCTCACAAAGAAACAATCACCCACAAGGACAAGGGGGGCAGAGGGAACACTTATACACAGACTAATGAGGGGATAAGAACCAGGTGTGTGTGATTGACAAGACAAGACAAATGGAATGATGAATAATGGAGCGGCAGTGGCTAGTAAGCCGGTGACGACGAACGCCGAAGCCTGCCCGAACAAGGAGGGGAGGCAGCCTCAGCAGAAGTCGTGACACGGAGAGAAGATTTAGCAATTTTATAACTAATTTCATGCAATTCTACTCATTTCGCCATGGGGCTGAGAGGAAAATTAGCTCTTTTACATTTTGCCATAGGGTGGAGAGAAATGTTAGAATTTTTTTATATGATATCTGAGTGAGACTGACTAACAAAATCAATGGGGGACCCTGGTCGGTAGTTCGACCATGATAGCAAGTTTAGATAGCTGTCTGCTAAACTAATTTAGCAATCCAAAAAAAAAATTGCTGATATGGGCTAATTGACTGACTATCAGTGACTGACGTAACAAGAGGAAAACTGCTGATGCACAACCACATTTAGAAATTGTGTATTCTACTATTCTAACTCTGAACCGTAAGTTGAGACCCAGACTGAGTTCCTAAAAAATATATATATTATCAGAGGGCCTTCAAAAGGGGTGCCGCGGGCCGGAATATTCCAGAAGATGCCTCAGAAATAATACTGTACATTCTATAAAGCTTTTTTCAGACAGTGGAAAGAAGTTACATGTTTCATATTGAATTATTCTCCGTACTAATCAGGCTTCCAGATGGTACTTCTTGGGTTGAGTCCCAATGGCACCCTATTCCCTATATAGTCCACTACATTTGAAAATACAAATACTACAAAAGTAGTGCACTATATAAGGAATAGGGTGTCATTTGGAACGCACCCCACTGTGTCACCAGGACCTTCACTGGTGCCACGTTTTTCCCATTTCCCATTAAACCAACAGATGAAGGTGTCAGACGCAGTAACTGATCTGGAGCTAGAGGCCTTGACTCCTGCTACAGAGTACACTGTGACAGTCTATGCCATGTATGGAGAAGAGGCTAGTGATCCTATGACTAACCAGGAGACCACCTGTGAGTGTCCTCTCAAACTTACTGTAACATATTCAACAATTCAGATAAAGGAGAGATATACTGTATATCTTCCTGTCTTCAGAAGTTGTAACTATCTCTTGTAGCTGTATAGCACTTTGTGACAACTGCTGATGGAAAAAGGGCTTTATAAATACATTTGATTGATTGATTGATCTCTGCAACATGACATATTGAGTTAACCCCTTTGTGTCTACAGTGTCACTGAGCCCTCCCAAGAACCTTGTGTTCTCTGAGGTGGACCACAACTCAGCCAAACTGTCGTGGGAAGCTGCCTCTAGGAAGGTGACAGGATACCGCATCATGTACGTCAAGACTGGCGGGCTACAGACTAATGAGGTGAGAGACAAGACTAGGGGATTTAACCTAGAACAAGACTAGGGATTTAACCTAGAGTTATCCATATATTGCATCTGACTTCCTCCTCCTCTCTCTCTCTCTCTCTCTCTCTTCTCTCTCTCTCTCTCTCTCTCTCTTCTCTCCTCTCTCTCTCCTCTCTCTCCTCTCTCTCTCTCTCTCTCCTCTCTCTCTCTCTCTCTCTCTCTCTCTCTCTCTCTCTCTCTCTCTCTCTCTCTCTCTCTCTCTCTCTCTCTCTCTCTTCTCTCTCTTCTCTCAATACTGTGTGTCTCTGTTTCCCCTTAGGTGGAGGTGGGTCCAGTCACGTCCTGGACTCTAAATGACCTGACGTCTGTAATGGAGTATGAGGTGGCCATCTTTGGGATCTACAACGAGGGCCAATCAGAAGCCCTCTCTGGCATGTTCACCACCGGTAAGAACCAATCAGAGTCTATCAGAGTAGTGCCAGATGGCAGGGTTGGCACTTTAGGAGCTATTTTATTGGTACTAACCAGGTCAGAGTACTACTGTAGTATGAGTTCTTCCTATTGGTACTAACCAGGTCAGAATACTACTGTAGTATGAGTTCTTCCTATTGGTACTAACCAGGTCAGAGTAGTACTGTAGTATGAGTTCTTCCAATTGGTACTAACCAGGTCAGAGTACTACTGTAGTATGAGTTCTTCCTATTGGTACTAACCAGGTCAGAGAAGTACTGTAGTATGAGTTCTTCCTATTGGTACTAACCATGGTCAGAGTAGTAATGTAGTATGAGTTCTTCCTATTGGTACTAACCAGGTCAGAGTAGTACTGTAGTATGAGTTCTTCCTATTGGTAATAACCAGGTCAGAGTAGTACTGTAATATGAGTTCTTCCTATTGGTACTAACCAGGTCAGAGTAGTACTGTAATATGAGTTCTTCCTATTGGTACTAACCAGGTCAGAGTAGTACTGTAGTATGAGTTCTTCCTATTGGTACTAACCAGGACAGAGTAGTACTGTAGTATGAGTTCTTCCTATTGGTACTAACCAAGTCAGAGTAGTACTGTTGTATGAGTTCTTCCTATTGGTGCTAACCAGGTCAGAGTACTACTGTAGTATGAGTTCTTCCTATTGGTAGTAACCAGGTCAGAGTACTACTGTTGTATGAGTTCTTCCTATTGGTACTAACCAGGTCAGAGTAGTACTGTAGTATGAGTTCTTCCTATTGGTACTAACCAGGTCAGAGTAGTACTGTAGTATGAGTTCTTCCTATTGGTACTAACCAGCTCAGCATACTACTGTAGTATGAGTTCTTCCTATTGGTACTAACCAGGTCAGAGTACTACTGTAGTATGAGTTCTGCCTATTGGTACTAACCAGGTCAGAGTACTACTGTAGTATGAGTTCTTCCTATTGGTACTAACCAGGACAGAGTACTACTGTAGTATGAGTTCTTCCTATTGGTACTAACCAGGTCAGAGTAGTACTGTAGTATGAGTTCTTCCTATTGGTACTAACAAGGTCAGAGTAGTACTGTAGTATGAGTTCTTCCTATTGGTACTAACCAGGTCAGAGTAGTACTGTAGTATGAGTTCTCCTATTGGTACTAACCAGGTCAGAGTACTACTGTAGTATGAGTTCTTCTTATTGGTACTAACCAGGTCAGAGTACTACTGTTGTATGAGTTCTTCCAGTCAGAAGTGATGTGTGTTTTACTTCATCTTCTATCTGATCTGATGATGCTGTTTGATCTCTCTAATAGACCCTGTGCCAGGCCCCCTTGACCTCCAGGCCAGTGAGGTCACCACAGAGAGCTTCCGGGTCAGCTGGGGTCACTTTGTTCCGGGCATCGTCCTCTACAAACTGACCTGGGCTTCTAATGATGGAGAGGACACTAAGGAGGTCAGTACTGGGACAACCCACTAATGAGGTCAGTACTGGGACAACCCACTAATGAGGTCAGTACTGGGACAACCCACTAAGGAGGTCAGTACTGGGACAACCCACTAATGAGGTCAGTACTGGGACAACCCACTAATGAGGTCAGTACTGGGACAACCCACTAATGAGGTCAGTACTGGGACAACCCACTAAGGAGGTCAGTACTGGGACAACCCACTAATGAGGTCATTACTGGGACAACCCACTAAGGAGGTCAGTACTGAGACAACACACTAACGAGGTCAGTACTGGGACAACACACTAACGAGGTCAGTACTGGGACAACCCACTTAGGAGGTTGGTACTGAGACAACACACTAACGAGGTCAGTACTGGGACAACCCACTAACGAGGTCAGTACTGGGACAACCCACTAAGGAGGTTGGTACTGAGACAACACACTAACGAGGTCAGTACTGGGACAACCCACTAACGAGGTCATTACTGGGACAACCCACTAAGGAGGTCAGTACTGAGACAACACACTAACGAGGTCAGTACTGGGACAACCCACTAACGAGGTCAGTACTGGGACAACCCACTAAGGAGGTTGGTACTGAGACAACCCAAAAGGGAAATCAGACCTGTATCAATACATTTGTCAAATGCTTCCTAAGACTCTTCATGCTGTGTATTTAGTTTGCCAGGTAAAATAGAATCAATGGAATAGTCCCAAAAGTGCAAACTCCAATATCCATATGCCAAGTTAGATACTTTACTTGATTGGGTGCCTGATTGACTAGGTTTTTAGAGGCTGATATAACTGTGATCATGCCTCAGATCCAAAGTGTTGATAATCTGTTCTTAACAAGAGAACATCAGCTGCAGAATGACACAATGCTCCAGTCTCTAGCCAGCTGGTGAAATATTAGCCTGGTACCAGATCTGTTTGTGCTGTTTTGCCAACTCCTATGACAGCAGCCATTGGAGTTGGCTATAAAGCACAAACCGTTATGGGCCCAGGCTAGTGAAATATGCTCTCTGAACTGACTCACCACCCTCATGCATCACCTGGGCCTGGCCTTTTCCTGGGTCCTGACTGACTGCTGTAGCTAGCTGGTCTTTCCAGATAGCACAGCAGGACTGCAGGTCGGTGTGTTTTCCTGGGAGTCACCGCTGCAGAAAATAATATGTGTCCCAAATCGCACCCTATTCCCTGTAAAGTGCACTACTTTGGATCTGAGCCCTATGGGCCCTGGTCAAAAGTAGTGCACTAAATGGGGAATAGGGTGCCATTTGGACCGCATACTGTGACTGTAGAGCTGTGAGTCTGTGACTCTGAGGTAGGGTGGTGGAATGTTACACCACTGAGACCCAAAACGCTCTGTCGATCTGGAGAGGAGAGATTTTCCCACAAAACCCACCAATGCAGACTAGTTGAGGTAATCCATGAGAGAGCAGTGTATGATAATGATATTGATCAAAGCATGTGTATTTTTATCCTTTCTGTTTTGTATTCTCTCTTATTTCTCTCTCACCATATCTCTCTTTCTTTCTTTCTTTCTTTCTTTCTTTCTTTCTTTCTTTCTTTCTTTCTTTCTTTCTCTCTCTCTCGTCTCTCTCTCTCTCTTCTCTCTCTCTCTCTCTCTCTCTCTCTCTCTCTTCTCGACACCTCTCTCGCTCGCACCTCGCACTCTCTCTCTCTCTCTCCGTCGCTCCATCTCTTTCCCTCTCTCTCCCATCTTTCCTTTATTTCTTCTTTCTTTCTCGTCTCCCATCTCTCTCTCACTAACATCTCTCTCTCTCCATCTCTCTCTCATCTCTCTCTCTCTCTCTCCTCTCTCCTCTCCTCTCTCTCTCTCTCTGTCTCTCCTCTCTCACTAACTCTCCTCTCTCTCTCTCTCTCTCTCTCTCTCTCTCTCTCTCTCTCTCTCTCTCTCTCTCTCTCTCTCTCTCTCTCTCTGTATTCTAGATGGTTCTAAGTGGTGATGTGGACTCCTTCCTCCTCAGTGGACTGAGCCCTAACACGGAGTATGAAGTGATGCTCCAAGCCATTTAAAAGCCCAATCAGAAAAAGGTGATGGATTTTTAGTGGTGGGGGACAACCGTAAGAAACAATCCCAACTAAAACTCTTTCTCCATCCCAGAATAAAGCAGAACCTTTTCTCCAGCAGCATCCCGCAAACCATTTCCAGCAGCATACAGCAAAAACCCATTCCATGCAGCATACAGCAAAACCCATTCCCAGGCAGCATACGCAAAACCCTTTCTCTCATGTTTAGTTTCTCCCAGTTTAAAACCCTTGATTTTAAAAAAAATCAAAAAATATCTTATCTGCAAAAAGGGCCGGGTTTTCCCCTCCACCCAAAATCATTTTAAGGGACCCCAGATTCAAATATTAAAACTAACACTTTGCAAAAATACTTAATTAGTTGAATCAGAGGTGGAAAGCTTTGACTGAGCTGCAAGCCGCACCCCACAAAAGGGGTATGAAAAGGTTGAAAAAATCTAAACTGTAAATTTCATTCATTCCAGTATTGTCTTTCTTTGGTTGTCAAAAATACCTGTGTCATGTTTTTTCCCATTGCCGGACAACAAGGGGTTCCCACTAAAAAGCCCATGGTAATAAAATGCATGTTGTGATGGTTTTTTTAAATTATTTTATGGTCGAAGGGAAAAGGCATTTTTTTCATGTTGTCCCCGAGCGTTTGCTCCCAAAAGTCTTCTGACTAAATTTAGCCCGGGTCCATCGGCTCTCAGGTCCAAGGGGGGAAAAAAAACTGGATTTTCCCAAATTAAATAAAAAAAAGGGTTTTGGTTTTGTTTTTACATTTTTTTAAAACTGGGTCGTATTCCCTCGGGGCAAAAAGGTTTGGAGTCTTTATTCTTTTTACCGGGTTATATCTGCTACTGGGCTCGAGTTATTCCCGGGTGGAATTTAGTTTTTTGTACCGGGTTTATATCGTAGCTAGGGCCCCCAGATTTAATTTCTGGTGGATTTTTGGGTCTCTTACCTGGGTTATATTGCTAGCTGGGCCCTTCGAGTTTTTTTCCGGGTGGATTTTTAGTCTCTGTACTGGGTTATATTGTAGCTAGGGCTCAGATTTTATTTTTGGGGTTTTTTAGTTTTTTGGGACCGGGTTATTCTGCTAGCTGGTCGGGAAGTTATTCCTGGTGGATTTTTTGTTCTTTTTCCCGGGGGTTTATCTTCTAGTTAGGGCTCAGATTTATTCCTGGGGGAAATATTTGGGTCTTGTACCGGGGTTTAATTTTCTAGCTGGGGCTCAGAGTTTTTCCCTGGGGATATTTGGGCTCTTTTACCGGGGTTTATATCTTTAGCAGGGCTCAGAGTTATTTGGGGGAAATATTTAGTCTTTTTTACCTGGGTTATATTTTGTTACTAGGGTCAGAGTTTTTCCTGGGGGATTTTTTAGTCTTTTCCCGGGGTTTTAAAAGGGCTGAGGGCTCAGGGGTTTTTCCTGGTGGATATTTATTTTCCCTTGTCCCGGGGTTATATTTCTAGCTGGGGGTTCATTTGTATTCCTGGTGGATTTTTGGGTCTCTTTTTACGGGGGTTATATTTTCTAGCTGGGGGTCGGGAGTTTTTCCTGGTGGTTTTATTTAGTTTTGTACGGGAAAATCTTCTAGTTTAGGGCTCGGGAGTTTTTCCTGGTGGATATTTAGTCTCTTGTCCCGGGTTATTTGAAGCTGGGGGGCCCCAGAGTTACCCTGGTGGATATTTAGTTTTCTTGTCCCTGGGTTATATGGCCTAGCTGGGGACCCGGAGTTATTCCTGGGGAATTTAGTTCTTGTCCCGGGGTTTGATTGCTAGCGGGGCCCAAAGGATTTTTATTCCTGGTGGATATTTAGTCTCTTTTACCGGGTTTAAATCTTTAGCTAGGGCTCGGGGGTTATTCCTGGTCAGGTCATGTGGTCAGGAAAACATCCTGGCCCTAAGAGGTGGTTGCCTCTTTGGCAGGGGTTGCTTTGGTTTGGTTTTAGAATGACTTCTTACTTGAGCAACGCTGGTATAAAATGACAGACTAATCCTGGTTCACAAAGATGGTGTTTGTTGACTGCTATGTGTTGTTTAAAGTGCTTGATGCTGAATATCATGATTGTGATTGCATATGGTTGATGATGAGTCATTTCATGTTGTGTTAACTCAACTCTGTATATCTGGTCTCTTGTCCTAGCTGTTATCAACTAAACTGACCTGGTCAAACGGATTAATAAGTCTATACAATGAATATCTCTGTGCTATCTGTCCCCCTCCAGTGGCGCGTCAGGCGGTGAGAGGCCTACAGGTCCAGGATGAGACCACCTACAGTCTGGAGGTGTCATGGCAACTGGAGGACCCTAAGGTGGACCAGTACAGAGTCACCTACGTCAGCCTCACGGGAGACCGCAACGAGGAGTCAGTGAGTTTGGAGCCCGTTTAGAGGCAGCGTCTTGCAGTGATCATGATCTGTGGTGTACTGAGTCACTCTGGAGACCTACTGATTCTCACTAGTCTTCACACCGTCCTGCACCTTAGCAGCCGTGTTGTTGGGTAGTCTCCACACCGTCCTGCACCTTAGCAGCCGTGTTGTTGGTAGCCTCACACCGTCCTGCACCTTAGCAGCCGTGTTGTTGGTAGTCTCACACCGTCCTGCACCTTAGCAGCCGTGTTGTTGGTAGTCTCACACCGTCCTGCACCTTAGCAGCCGTGTTGTTGGTAGTCTCACACCGTCCTGCACCTTAGCAGCCGTGTTGTTGGTAGTCTCACACCGTCCTGCACCTTAGCAGCAGTGTTGTTGGTAGTCTCACACCGTCCAGCACCTTAGCAGCCGTGTTGTTGGTTGTGCGCTAGGTTGTCAGTGAGTATAGAGAGAACTCACAGGAGTTACCAGGAGTCTTAATGTCCGGATGGTTTCCCACCCCTTTGGGAATATGGCCAAAGATGGGCAGACATAGACTGTACGTGGAGAGGCAAGTGCCACAGAGGGGAAGTTCAGATGTCATTTTGCTATGGGGGTGTTGTAGGTAGATCACTCCGTGTAACTCAGCTCTGATCAGAAACCAAGCATCTTCCTTTGATGGTACGCAGAGGTTTGGCACCACAGAGTGAAAATCATCCCAGGGAGGTTAGATCCTGAGGACAGGACAAGTATGTAGCTGACCCATCCGGGGGTTTGCCCTGATGACAGGACAAGTTTGTGCTGAACCCATCCAGGGATTGATTGTTTGACAGGCCCAATTTTGTAGTTTAAACCCACCCAGGGTTTAGATCCTGAGACGGGGACAAGTTATGTAGCTGTACCCACCCAGGGAAGACCCTGAGCCCGGGACAATTTTAGGTAGCGGTACCCACCCCAGGGGAGACCTGATGACAGGAAAAGGGTATGTAGTTTGCCCCCATCCAGGGATTAGATCCGGGATAAAAGGGGACAAGTTATGAGCTGTCCCCACCCGGGGGTTTTAGACCCTGAGGGACGGGACAAGTTATGTAGTGTCCCTTTCCGGGATTAAAACCCTGAGCCCGGGGAAAAGTTCTGAGCTGTCCCCCACCCCAGGGTTTAGATCCTGAGGCCCGGAAAAATTTATGTAGCTGACCCATCCGGGGATGAACCCTGATGACGGGGAACAAGTTATGTAGTTTGCCCCACCCAGGGATTAGATCCTGAGGGACGGGACAAGTTAGGAAGCTGTACCCACCAAGGGTTTAGATCCTGAGAAGGACAAGTTCTGAGCGGCCCCCATCCGGGGGTTTGGGACCTGAGGGAAGCAAGTTCTGAGCTGAAACCCATCCGGGGGGTTAGACCCTGTGACGGGAAAAGTTTGTAGTCTCCCCACCCGGGTTTTTAAATCCTGGGGACAGGAAAATTTTCTGTAGCTGAAACCCCCCAGGGGTTGATCCTGATGACAGGACAATTTTCTGAAATTTTTAACCCATCCGGGGGTTAGACCTGATGACGGGAAACAATTATGTAGTTTACCCATCCAGGGGTTAGACCCTGAGGGACAGGAAAAGTTATGTAGCGGGTTACCCCCCAGGGGTTAGATCCTGGGGACGGGGGAAAAGTTATGTAGCTGTACCCATCCGGGGTTTAAAAAGATCCTGATGCCCAGGAAAAGTTATGTAGTGAAACCCAAATCCGGGGGTTTTTAGACCCGGGGGGGCCCAGGGACAAGTTATGTGGCTTTTACCCATCCAGGGATTAGACCTGATGACAGGACAATTATGTAGCTTACCCACCCCGGGGTTTAAAGACCCTGTGACGGGGAAAGTTTTTAAAAGCTGTCCCATCCGGGATTAGACCGATGACAGGACAATTTTGGTAGTTTTACCCATCCAGGGGTTAGATCCTGATGACGGGAAACAAGTTATGTGCTGCCCCCTTTCCGGGGGTTAGATCCTGTTGACAGGAAAGTTTTTGTACCCTGAAACCATCCAGGGATTAAAATCCTGATGCCCGGACAAGTTATGAAAGCTTTTTACTCACCCGGGGGTTTTGACCCTTTGATGAAAAACGTAAAATTTATTTTGAGTTTTGTCTAATCAATTTGGTTTTCAGGGGGGAAATTTAACGGGCCCGACACAGTCCCCCGGCTTTTTGAAAGGAACCCTTGAGCGGGGGCCCGAAACCCCTAGTCGCTGGATAAAGCGTCTGTTTAAATGAGAAAAAAATGTAGGTAGTTCGCCAAAGTTGCTTCACCTGGTTTTGTAAGATACCCCATCATCTGAGGGAGTTTTTTTTGATCCCCCCAGCTAAATTTAAAATAAAAATCACCCCCAATTTATTCCCCCGGTGTTCAATAGAATAAACCCCTTTCTATTCCCCAAGGGTGTTAAATGGGAATCCAAAAATTCTATTCCCAGTGTGTTCAATAAAATTTCCCCAAAATTTTTTTCTCCAGGTGTTCAATAGAATCACAAAAATTATTCCCCAGCAGGGTTCAATAGAACACCCCATTTTTTCTCCAGTGTTTTAAATGGGAAATCACCCCTTTTTAAATTCTCCGGGTGTTCAATAGAATCCCCCACCTTTTTTATTCCCGGGTGGGTTCAATAGAATCCCCACCATTTTATTCCCCAGCATTTTCAATAAAAACCCACCCCTTTTTTATTCTCCAGTGTTTTTCAAAGAATCACACCAATTTTTTCCCCAGAATGTTCAATAGAACACACCTTTTTATTTCCAGTGTGTCAATGGGGATCAAAACCAATTATTCTCGGCGTTTTTCAAAGAACACCCCCAATTTTATTTCCAGTGTGTTAAATGGGAATAACCCCAATTTATTGCCAGGTGTTAAATATAATAAAGGGTGTCTAAAGTGTTTTGGGAGTAAATCTTTTTTAAAATGAGAAAAATGTTTCTTTTGGGGCCCCTTTCCCCCTTTTCCCCCCAAAATCCAAGAGCCCTTGGGGCCAAAGTGCCTAAGCGTTTCAGGTTTAAACCCTCCTACTATTCCCCCCTTTCACGGTATTTTAATTTCCCCCTGGCTCCTGCTGCGGGGGGAATAGAGGGGTGGGGGCAACGTGGAAGACATTCCATTATTTTTTAAACAAGTTTTAGGTCACGGGGAAAACGAATGGAACACACTGGTTGATTTCCCATAGGCACCCTTTTTCCCTATATGGGGGGCCCATAGGGTTTGGTCCAAAGAAAAGGTGCACTTATGGGGAAAGGGGCCCAAATTGGGAAACACCCCATGGGAAAAAAAAATTTTAAAAAAAATCTGAGGAGTAGAATTTGTGGGACATGCTCCTAGAGGAAGGGTTTGGGATTTTTTAGATCTTTTCATTTTGGGCGGAGCCAAGTAACTCCCCGGGCGGGTTTGGGATTCAGCACCAATGTCTGTTGGACAGCCCCCGTGAGGGGGAGTTTTTGTGCCAGGATCAGGACATTTCCACCTCTGGTGTGGGGTCTGACAGGGGAGGGATGGAGGATCGGGAAAAGGGGTTTTGGGGGGGTTTTAAAATCTCAAACCCCTTTCATGTTTAGGGTAGGGCCCCTTAGAGGGACATTTGGGAGCGTTCACTTTTGGGGTCGACCAACTAATTGGGAGTTCATTTAAGCCCCCAACCTGGTGGAAGTCCCTTTCCCGGGGTTTTTGGGGGTTGGGGCAAATTCAAGGATGGGGGGGGGAGGGGGTCCCCATTGCCCCGCTCTTAAAAAACCCCGTCAACCCGGGGGGATGGGGTCATAGAGGAATTCTAAAAAAGTTTAAGGAAATGAGGCTGTCATCCCAAAAACTAAATTCCCAAGTAATGATAAAAAATTGAATACATTTTTCTTAGGTTTTTTAAAACCCTTTTGAGGGGAAATTTTTTCCATTTTAAACTATTTTAGGGAAACCTTTGGGGGAAAATTATTTGTAATATATTTTTAGTAGGGGCTAAGAGTCTAATGGGGACCAGAACAGCGTGATCCAAAAAATCTGGTTTTTTGATTATGCAAAAGGGGGTAATATCGGCTAACTTTGCCTTTTGTCTCAAAAGCACCCTTTCCCCATATGTGCATACTTTAGGAAAAAAAACCATATGGACCCTGGTCAAAAGTAGTGAACTAAAAAAGGGGAAAAAGGTGCCATTGGGGTTTTTTCCTTTTTGATTTTTTAGTCCTTCTTTTCACCCCCAACGTATAAGGTGTAAAAAGTTTCGTCAGAGGCCAGTTTTGGTTCCCAAACCCAAGGGATCGCCCACACCCAAACCCAAGTGTCCCTTCAAACCCCTTGGCTCTGTGGGAAATGGGCCCAAACAGCAGGGGTAATGAGGGTTTGATTTTGTTTGATTGGGTGATGGTCCCGTAGCCCGTGGAATAAGGGCACTGTGGAGGTCAGATATTTTCTGAGGAGAAAGCTTATGGCACCCCACACACCACCCCACGAAGCACACCCCCACACGCACGCACGCACACGCGAAAACCCTGACGCAAGCGCCGCCCCGCCGCAAGGGACGTGCAAGCACGCACAACACACACACACACACCCACACACAAAACACACCCCACACACCACACACAAAAACCCCCACACACCCACACAAACACACACCCAACACTGTGTAACAAAAGGATAATCTCTTTCCCAAAATTTCCCTGTAGGTACTGGTTTCCGGGCAGCAGACCACAGTCCTTTTCCAGGGCCTTTTCTGTCTGGGAAAAGAGCACAAAAGGGGAACCCTCACCCCGTTTACCGACGGACAGGACGGGAATTTTTTTAAATGTGTCTTCTGTGGGAAGAAAATGTGAGTACAAACCTTTTTTAGGGTGGTTGCATTTAAAGGGGCCAAAAAAGGGCATGGGAAGCTGTTTTAAGTAGTGGAAAAGACTGGGGGTTTAGGGGCCCGGGGTATTTTGTGCCGAAGGACGGGGTTTGCATTGGGTTAGAAAATTTCTGGGGGGGGTATGGTAAATGGGTTTTCAGGGAATTTAAAGCTTGGTATAGAGCTCCCGTCACCGGGGTCTTTATAGAGATGTAGTTACCGTATTAATAGAGGCTGTAGTCACCTGTGGGCTATATATAGAAGGTTAGTTAAACCCTTTTTCTATATTAGGTTTAGTCCCTGTGCTATTAAAAAACCCGTTGTCACCTTTTCTATATATAGAGCTCTAGTTCAACCCGTGTTATATATAGAGGTCTAGGCACCTGGTTATAAGAGTTTTTGTGACCCGTATCTATAAAAAGAGAAATCTAGGGGCACCTGTATTTTTATAAAAGAGATTAATCACCTGTTTTTCTTTAGGAAACTCTAGAAACCCGTGTCTATATAGAGCTTTTATAGTGAAAAGTATCATATATAGAAACCTAGTCAACCCGTGTCTATATAGAGTTCTAGTCACCCGTATCAATAGAGAGCTATAGGCCCCGGCTAATAGAAACCCGTGTGGGCCGTATCATATAGAGGCTCTAGTCACCCGTTTTTATTTTAGAGCGGTTTGCACCGTATCTATTTTTTTAGAGGCTTTTGGCACCGGTTTTCCCATTATAGAGCTCTAGTAAACCCGATCTTTTATAGAGGCTCTACAAAATGTGTCTAATTTTGAGCTTTTAGTTTACCTGTATCTATAAAGAAACTTACACCTTTTGTCTATATAGAGGGTAGTACCCGATTATATATAAGCTCTAGTACCTTTGTTTTAAAATTGAGCTGTAGTGACCTGATTATATAAAGAGGCTTTGTCACCTGGGTCTATATGAGCTTGGGAGGGCAAACCCGATCATTTTAGAGAGCTTTAGTCACCCGTGTTTAATTAAACTGTTTGTCACCCGTAATTATAGAGAGATCTAGTCACCTTTGTTATTAGAGCTGTAAATGACCCGGGATCTATATATAGAAACTTTTAGTCACCTTGTGTCTATATAGAGTTTTAGGACTGGATTTATATATAGAGCTTAGTCACCCGGGGCTATTTTAGAGCTGTTTGTGACCTTTTTATCTTTATAGAGAGTTAGTCACTGTTTTCTATATAGAGCTCTAGGACCCGTGTCTATTATAGAGCGTAGTACCGGGTTATATATAGAGCTTTAGTCACCTGTATGTCTATATATAAAGCTTTTGTCAAAAAATTTTTTATCTTAAAAATAGAGCTCTAGTCACCGTGTCTTATATAGGTGTAGTCACCTGTATCTATATTAGAGTTTAAGTGACCGGGTTTTTAATAGAGCTCTAGTCACCCTTTTTTATATGAGTCCCAAATCACCTGTGGCTATATATAGAGCTGGGAGGAAACCCGGGTCATATATTTGAGCTGTAGTACCTTTTTTATAAAAGAGAGCTCTAGTCACCTGGGCTAAAATAGAGCCCGTTTGTGACGGTTATTATATATAGAGTTTTAGTACCTGTGTCTATATTAGAGCTTTTAGTCACCCGGTTATTTTAGAATCTAGTCACCGGGGTCATAATAGGCCCCAGTCACCTTTTTGTCTATATATAGAAAATTTAGTAAACCCGTGGGCTTATAAAAGCGGGAGTTTACCTTTTATCTAATTTTAGAGCTTGGAAATCACTTTTTGTCTTTAAGAAGGTCTAGTCACCCGTGTCATATTTAAAACCCTTTGTGACCTGATCTTATATAGAGCTGTAG